GGGAGAGAACACACACTCTCACACCCTCGGATTATCATCTGAACTTGAATTATCTTACTTGCTCACGAGCTAACCTCACGAACACAATGATCTAGCGCGACCTACACTCTTAGTCTTTTACACTCTTTTCTTCCTCCCCAGCGTTCTAACTTAAGCTTCGGAGTATTCCCGCCGGGCAAATCGCCGGGAATCCTTCTCCTTCGTCTTCTCAGGTGCCGTCCGTTGCCAACAAGGAACCAGTCAACAGTCAAATAGGAGTGCTCGGATCGCGCCACATCACTTACCATGGACAAGCTCTACACCCAAGTTAGAAGGCACCAGATGAGGATGAGGAAGCTAGTTGGACTTTAATAGGTGCCCTCACTTAAACGATGAAGGCAAATGATTTTGTCCTCCCTCTTTTATAGAGCTAGTAAACAGTCCAAGTGGGATTGATCAATTGCCTAGACCAAGCCCCACACATTATGCTTGCATGTGAGTTGGGAAGGCAAAATGTTGCAATCCAACATTCCTCAATTCAAATTTTGAAAATTTGAATTTCCCCGTGTATAATCCAAACCAAGCCTTGGTTTGAATGGTTTAATATGGTTTTCTGAAAAGATTAATTAGCACCATATGTGAGTACACAAGGAACTCACCCCCCTAATGGCTACAGAACACCCTACTCCTCAACTTCGGAATTGAGGGGCTAGTGATGAGGGTGTACTTTAGCCCAATTAAACCGCCATGTGGAAATTGACATAAATGAACATTCGGTCAAGAGCTTGGCCAAATCAATGACATGGAATGGTGCCATTTTCCAGAGACAACAATTGTGGTGCATACTAAAAACCTCAAATAGAAAAGGGCATGTGGCAAATGCTAAGTTCGTCCCAACCTCCCATGCATGAAGAGCACAAAATTACCCCTAGAATTTTGATTGGAAGACACCTTAGTGTGCACCACGTGCCCTGAAAAGTGAGGAGCACAATGACACCCCTCTATAGGTAGTCAAGGGCACACCACAAGAGCCATTTATTCTTCTGCTTGCACTTCTAGCATTCTCGCTCTAGCCTTCTTGTTCTTAAGCTCTTCAGCTTAGCTTGGGTACAACTAGTTTGTCCTAGCCTCTAACTTTGATGTTTGCAAGTCACTGGATCAACCTCAATTCGTCCAACTCAATGGGACATTATCTAATCCTTGTTCACCTCAGTGCGGACAACATCACCTTCTTTTTATTTTTTCTATTTTACCCTTTCTTGTGAATGTGTAATTAATACATGCTTCCCACTTGTGTGTCTTGTAAAATTCATGTCTTGGATCTCAGAATTCTTGTTTGAGGGGTGTGGTCTAAGGTAAAAAGGCGATACTATTTAATGAATGGTATGCAAAAGCATCTTTTTGTTAAATCGGTCTAATATAACATCAAGAATGTATAAGGGTATGTTTAAGTTCATTTTTTTTGGTGGATATGTTTAAGTTAATTAAGATTAGCTGGATGCTATGGTTGTGTAACAGTATGGGGTGTCAAAAACCTGAATTCAAATTGATGTCCAACATAATCGAATTGAATTCGAATATGTGTTGATTCAAATTCGGTTATCGTAATTAGAGCTCTCAGTTCAGCTTTTTATTATGTATTCCTATTTATTATAAAAGACAAAAGAAGAATTAATTACTTGTACCATTTACCGGACCACTACCTAAAAGTGTTCACACATCAATTACCTACAAGTGTTCTCTCTTCCTTCGATGCTATATCTCGTGGAGTTACAAACCTAGCATATCTCATATCTCTATCTTCGAGGATGGAATGAGTTCACTACAAAGAAAGAGGTGGGTGGTTTGAGATTTCAGAATGCTAGCATTAAGAATAGAGAGCCTTGCTTATGAAATTATCTTGGAGATTTTTAACAGAACAATCTCGTTTATGGGCATAGATTTTATCTTCTAAATATTTGAAGACGGGTGGAACTTTTTGGAATTCCACAAAACGTCCATCAGCCTCTTCTACTTAGCGAGCTATGCTAGCATCTAGAAGGGACTTATCTTGTGGTGCCAAAATTCTAATATCTAATGGTTGGGACACAACATTATTTGGGGATCCTTGGGTGAGTGAGCCATTTCAGGTTCAATATGGATTTAATCAGGTGATTCCTTGGACACCTCCCCAAGAACCTTTCATCAAAGTCAATGTCGATGGGGTAGTGGGGCCCTCTATGTTCTGGAATTGGTATTGTTGTTCGAACCCGTTTGGGTTAAAGTTGGTTTGTGAAAGGTCTGCTTGTGCTCCAAAAACTAATTATGAGATGGCTGAAGCATTTGGCTTTTAGAGATGGTTTACAAGTGGCTCAAGATTTATCTCTTACACACATTGTTCTTGAAGGGGATGCACAGAAGATTACTAACATCCTGTTAGATCCTCAGTCTGAGGTCCCATGGCGGCTTCATATAGTCATAGCCGATTGCAAGAATTTCAGCAAGTTCATATATCATACACCCCTCGTACAAGCAATAATGCTGCTTACACTTTGGCAAATTTTGGTTGTACTTTGTCTAGGCCCAAACTTGGTCCATCTCTCCAGATTTTCTTTTGCCTGTACTAAGAGCTGATTCGGTGCAATGAATGATATAGCCTATGGGCTTTTTACAAAAAAATAAATCTTGTATTCATTCATTGACAAGAGATAGCCATCTCATCATTTCATCTCTCCCATCTTCAAAGTTCCCCCATTTCCCTCCCTTTATCCCTCATTCTCTATTCCCCTATATCGAGAATCGACCCCTCCATCTCTATCTTGTATTGAGTTCCTCCCCTATAAATAACGCAGAGAAAAAACAAAGAAGATTAATGGTTTTATAGTTCAACTTATATTGGTTGGAGCCATCGTCCATTGGTCTAGATTTTATTAGATGTTTGTTCTAGATTTTATTAGATGCTTTCTTTTTTATTTATTTTTCTCATTTTCTTTGTCATTTATAGAAATAGGACGGTCTTTGTACTTCATTCAAAGGGAACAAGATAGGCTTGTCTCTATTGTTCATTCAAACGGAACCATTGTTTGGTTTTAAGAATTAGGGTATAATTGGGATGCTTGTAACAAATTATTTATCATTCACTTCTAATGAAATCAATTGAATTTTATCTATAAAAAAAAAAAAAGAATTAGGGTATAATTGATTGAATTCAAATTAATCGATTGTTTGATTATCTAATCAAATTCGAATTCAGTTTTTTTTTCACTTTAATATCTATTGAATACTAAATCTAATTTGAAACACCATAATCGAATTCAAATATGGCATGATTCAATTTAAATTTTCTCTGTTTACAGGGCTATGTAATAGGCAACACCCCACCTCCGTTATAAAATGTTTTAGAACCTAATTGATAGATTGAATGGGATGTGGACCCCAATGTTTTAAAAATTGATCCAAAACTAGAACCACTTTTGTCCATTGGTTTCTAGATCAGCAGTTCAATCTTCTAGTCCCAATGGACAATCTGTTGTAGTTTAAAAAAATAAAAAGTAATTAAAACAAAAAATGACAAAAATCCGTTGTTCGAGTCGAATGGATTATTGACCAACTCAATGGTTTTTTGCAAAGAACCAGTTCAAGGGTGAAATGGAATCAGTTGCCTAGATGATTTTTCAGCCGAATGGTCCAGCCATCTGGGTCAACAACAATTCGAAAACATGGTGGACCCTATGTGTTTTTGTGATGGGTGTGAGGCGTTATCGTTGGTTTCATAGGGGCCTTATCAAATGGCCCTCAAGAGTCAAGTCATTATCAGAAACTTCACGAATTTATCCTATATTTTATCTATGAAAAAAATCTTACCCGATCCATCTTGATTTCTTGGGTTTGGATTGGGCTAGCTCGGCTTAAGTTGCACCTATGAACATGTCTTTACTAGTGGTATTTTCAATCCATCATTGACTTGGATGGTTGAACCATTCGAAACATCACCTAACCATGATTCTAAATTCAGTTCTCTTAAAACCCAGGGCCTTATCAAATGGCCCTTAAGTCACTTTTTGAAACTTCACGATTTTATCCTTTATTTTATCTATGAAAAATAATTCTGACCCAACCCATCCCAACTTCTCAAGTTGGGATCGGGCTAACCCAACCCAAGTTGCACTTGTATACATGCCTCTACTAGTGTTTTCTATATATCTTATATATATATATTTATATATATTATATATATATTTATATATATTATATATATTTTATATACTTTATATATTATAAATTAATAAATATGCATTATATATAAATATATATATTTATAATAAATGATATATTATTTATTATTTAAAATATAATATTTTATATATATTTAAAATATTTTATTATATATTTATATATTTTTATAATGTATATTATAAAATTTAAAAAACTAAAAAATTGACGAACCAAACCGACGGTTAACCGAACTAGTCAACCCGTTAACTGACTGGCTTTAGTACAGTTTTGGTCACTGATTTTCCGAAAACCAGTAGTACTGGTTCGGTTAAAAAAAAGCCCCATGGTTCGGTTAAATGAACACCCCTATCTACCATTGATTTGGATGGTTGAACCATATGAACCGTCATTCAACCATGATTATGGGTCCAATTCTTTTAAAACTAGGAATTGGTAAAAAACCATCCAACTCGGGCAATTGAACCATTAACCCATTCAATTTGATCACCAGGTCACGAATTACACACTAAATGCATATATGCATGCTTTTAATGCCATAAGTTTATGCAACTTTTGAGATCTATGCATCCCAAGAGTCAAAGGTGCCTTGCCACACTAGTTTTGCTAAAAATCTTTTTTGGGCTCAAAGCTCAATTTTTAGCACTTTTATAAATTAATATAATTATTCTGATGTGTCACGGTTTGAATCTGATCCATTCTACCCGGACGGTCGAACCGGTGACATGCGACCCCGAGCCAAAAATGGTTTGGCCTCCGGTCGGTTTTTAAAACATTCCCTGCTTTTTAAAACGCTTGGCATAGACGAAATGACGACGGAGAAAGCAGAAGAGTGAGACATGAGCTCGTCTTCTGCACTTCGCGAACTACAGCATGAGCTGGAGACCAAAGCCAACGATCTCAGCAAACTCCAAAAAGGCAAGCTACTCATACTTCTCTTCTGGTTGTTGAAATGAAAACTCTATTCTTTTCTTTTATGATTACTCTCTTGATCCATAAACCCTAAGCTTAGCTATTTTAGATTCTTTCTTCCTCCTCTCCATTTTTTTCCCTAATCCAATAGAACCGTAATTCGGACTGTCTTCAGAAATTGCAAAGAACCATCAAGTTAGAAAGAAGTACACAGTACAGCTAGGTGAAAACGAACTTGTCCTCAAGGTAATCTTAATCTCTACATTCTCTCACTTACTGGTTATATAAATCTGAACCCAAAATTTTGAATCATTAGATTGATTTTGTTTTTATGGCTATAGGAATTGGATCTATTGAATGAAGATGCCAATGTGTTCAAGTTGATCGGGCCGGTCCTCGTTAAGCAGGACTTGGCAGAGGCAAAAGCTAATGTTCGCAAGCGAATCGATTACATCTCTGCTGAACTGTATGTTTCTCGTTTTACCCAAAATCTTAACAAAGTCACAGTGAATGCTGAATCTCTATGTTCTACGTTTTTGTTGATAGTTGATACTGAAATCTAATAGGAAACGCCTTGATGGGACTTTACAAGATCTGGAAGAGAAACAAAATAGCAAGAAGGATGCGGTTAGTATCTGATATTACGCTGAAATGATATTGCGTCTATTTTCAACTAATGGAATTTTGGTAGAGAGTTGGTATCAATAGCATGGTTCAATTCTTTCATCTGGCCCCATGATCACTTTCATGTTTCAGTCCAGTGGGGGACTGCATCTTCTGATAATTGGATTGAATCAGATTGTAAATCATACTGTAATTGTAAGGCCACTTCTATTTTTTATGAACTTGTCAAAAAGTTAAAAATAGATGTGCTAAATCTAAATATATATAAATTAGTTATTTTACCCTCCTTTAATCCATACCTACCATATATGTACCTAAAACAATAGAGTTTACCACTTGTACACTAGAAGCTTAAGACGATATAATCATTTTTTGATTTGAAAGTAAAAAATCCACATAAATGGGGTTTTAACCTATAAAAAAGATTTTTAACCTACATTTTGTGGAAAATAAATTTGATGTCGTTTTAAAAAGGTTTTTAATAGCCTAAATAAATCATTTTCTATTAAGGGCTTTAAAAAATGTACCCTATTTTTTGTTGGATTAAAAAAGAATAAATGCCAAAGTAGGGAACTAATTCGTTTTTTATTTTTTTGAAAGATGAATAAAAGATGTATTACTATAAAAAAAAGGAAGGGAGAGCGAGAAGCCCTCACCCAGGTACAAAAAAAAGTGCATGTATCAACATGCACAAAACATTTACAATCAGCTCCTATACAAAAGCCTCAAAAGTAGGGAGCTCATTCTTAATTAAATTGATTTGTATCACATGAATTTTATAAATTATAAGATTCATATATCAAATTATAGGATTCAAACAAAAATGTAAGAGTTTTGCACAAAAGATTCAGACATAAGATTCAAATTGAAACCTTGGGGTTTATGATTCAACTTGCAAATTTTTGAAGAAACATGTGGATGTTTGGTTGGGGTTGAAAATCAGATGAACAAAGTGGGAATTCTAATCCAAGTTAAATCTGAAGGGTAGTTTCACAAATTCAGTTAGTCCAACTGAGATGACAAATTGATATCACATTACAACATGGATGATTCAGATCATAAGGTGGGGATGTTTTTCTGGGAAGACACTTTGGTGGGAAATTTGCCTCTCAAGGACTTGTTCCCCTCTCTCTTCTCTATTTCCCTTTATAAAAAAGAGCCTGTGTCTACTTTTCTTTTGTCCCCGTATACCCCTTTGTCTACAAATTGGGACCTTCACTTCTGTAGAGGGTTGAGGGGTGATGAATCCTTATCGGTTTCTGAGCTCTTATTGTTACTTGATTCTGTTTGCTTGGACCCACTCAATTCTGATGGGAGAATTTGGTCTTTGACTCCCAAAGGGTCATTTACTTTTGCATCTTTCTTTAAATCCCTTTGCTCTAGTTCCTCTCCTTGGGCATTCCCAGTTAAAGAAGTTTGGTCTAGGCCTATTCCCCCAAAAATAGTTGTCTTTTGTTGGGAAGTTTACTACGATAAAATCAATACGATGGATAACCTGCAGAAGAAAAGACCTTTCTTGTGTTTATCCCCTAACTAGTGTACTTTGTGCAAAGCGCAGAATGAGGACTGTTACCACTTATTGATTTCCTGTCCCTCTTCTGCAGCCATTTGGAATTGGGTATTTGATTTGTTTGGGTGCAGGTGGAACTTGCCACCTGAGGTAAATTTGTTGTTTTTTCCATCTACCCTTGTGTGGACCATGAGAAGAGGGAGAATTATGTTAAAGTGTATAAAAGCAGCTCTCATATGGACTATTTAGGAAGAGAGAAATTCCTGAATTTTTCAGGCGAAGGAAAGAACCATTCATGAGGTCAAGGAGTGTATTTTGACAAGGGCTATTTTGTGGCTGAAATCTTTAAAGCTCTTTGAAAATTACTCCTTCGATGATATAAGGAGGAATTGGTTTGCAATTGCCCTCACTTCTTCTAAGAAGCCTAGAATTCAAGTAACTTGGACTCCGCCGATAGTGGGTTTTGTTATGCTGAATTTTGATGGGAGTAGTCAAGGCAATCTAGGATCGTCTGGTATTGGTGGTGTACTGAGAAATGAGAACAACATCCTTGCCCTTTTTTTAGGACCGGTGGGAATAGGAGACTCCGTGAGGGCTGAACTCCTAGCTGCGACACAGGGGATAAAGATTGCTTATCAACTATTCAACTTGGAGTGCAGAACTTAATAATTGAAGGAGATTCCAAGGTGGTAGTAGGATGGTTGGCTGACCTATGTACTGTCGATTGGGACTTTAAGGATGTTTTAAAAAAGGTTAAATGGCTTTCGAGGGATACGACAGTTAGATTTCAATGGGTGGGTAGATCGGCTAATGCCTTGGGCTGATTATCTTGCTAAACAAGGGGCTATTCGGTTCTCTTTGTATTGGACTTCTCTGTAATTTTCTTTGTCCTTTGTTCTGTTTATTAACTAAATGGTTGATAGTATCCTCCATCTCCCCTCCTTAAAAGGGAGGTAGCATCTTGTGCCTCTCCCTAAAATATACTCTCTTTGGCTATGAATTAATAAATCTTACAATTGACTGATCAAAAAAAAAAAAAAAAAAAAGAAGTGAATCCTTGATGCATATGATAATAGCTGGATATGGGAGATTACTAGGTAGCTGCAGTCTAGAACCAATTTGCATCCATCTAAGAAAAGTCTTTGCAGGAGAGGTTAAATAAGAGGAAGGATGCACCAATGATGGTGATAAGGTGATTCGCCATTTATTTTTATCAGCAACTGAAAATTCATTCATTAAATTAAAAAAGAAATACAACAAGGCTAGGGATTTCCCTTGCCACCCTTTTAATTTTACAAGAATAAGCCAATCTACAATTCAGCCTAAAAAAGATGTTCCCTATTAACTCCTTGCTTTGCCAAACAATCTGCTAGTCCATTTGATGTTCTTCTAACCCATTTAAACGTGGCTCCCACTTCTTTGGCTATTGTGTTCATTTCTCTTAATGACTGCCTATAGCTCCAAGCTTCCGGATCCTAATTTCTTACCTGAGTTGCTTGGCCATTGACGATTGCAATACTCTTAACAGAGGCTTTGAGGAGTCAGCATCAATTGTCCCAATGGAACCCCTGTTGAAATGAGGAATAAAAGGGATACAGGTAGGGGTGAGCATTCGGCTTATTCAGTTAAAAACCGGACTTGTAAAACTTAAAAAAAAACCAAAACCAAATTACTGAAAAACCAAAAAAACTGAAAACAAAACTTTTGGTCAAAACAAAATTTCATTTATATTGTACTAATACATATTATATATTATATATGTATATTATAATATATGTATATATATTAATATTATATGTATTGGACTATTGGTGAAATAATGCATTATATTATACATATTATAATATTTGTTATTATATATATATATGTATGCATATGTATATGTATATATATAAAATAAATATTGGTTAATTTGGTTTTTTCAGTTAACTGGATTTCTAATCCTGAAAACCAAAACCTATAATGAAACTGAAATTTCCAGTTTTTCGATTTTAACTGAACAATGCTCACCCCTAGATACAGGGACTGACTATAATATTAAGGTTGGTGGTGAGAAGCATTGTGTGATCTCTGAAGTGTATATGGTGTCAACTGCTTCTGATGGAGGGTTTCAGGGTTGGCATGTTGGTCCATAGTAGCACTGGGACTGGGATCATTGGACCAGGGCCTCGGATGGATGAAGGTGCCCTAGTTTTTAGTGATATACCTTCTTCATATTGATATCTGTGTTCATATAGAAGAAATGAATGGTCAGAAGTTGACTAAGGATTTATCTGGGATTAGTGAATTTGCTTGGGGTTAAATGGATCTGATCTGTTAGCTAAAATTATTTATGTGATATTCTGATGGTATGGAAATGAATAGGTTCAGGCCTCACCTACCAGATTTAATATTCTATTAGGCAGTAGATGTAATTTGATAATGTGGAAATGGTGGACATTGATGATAATCTTTTGTTAGGGCTAAATGGTGTTAACCCTGATAATGGGACTGGAATCATTTATTTTTGATGTTGGTTAGACTCGTATTGTTAATCAGGACATTGCCACATTGGTGCAGTTTGTGATGAAGAGGGGGGGGGGATTGGAGTATGCCGTATGTTGCTGTCATTGCAGTTGGATCAATTTGAAAAGACATGTGGAACCCAATATCCTGATGTGGTTGAAAATGAAGATGATTCAGAAAAAAATGAAAGTGATGAGAGGTCTAAATTTCAGGGCTGTTGTGGAATTGTTTTTGAACTTGGAAAGGTGGGGATTGATTTGGGGGAAAAGGTGTAATGTCTTGCAAAAGGCTTACTTGGCTTGGGTTGTGGTTCATCTGGGAAGTCAGATTTAGATGCTGCAGATGTGATTGGGAGTAAAAAAAGATGTGATTACGAGTAAGACTGTAAGAGAACTTGAATACATTTGAGACAAGTGAAAAGTTTGAAGAATCATAATTTCGTTTATGTCACAAAAGTTTTTGTTTGTCTAAAAGGGGGTCTTTGGGGTGTGTAAGATGTCTAAAAGAGTTTACAAGGGCAAGGTTAGTAAAGGTAATGAAAAGTTGTTAAAGCATTTCAGCAGGTAACAAAAATCAGAACAGTCTGATTTTTGGAATTCTCAGTCATTGTAGCAGAAAAATTGGAAGATTCAGTGAAAGGAAGGAAAATTCATTTAGGGAGGGTGTGGGAAGAGTCTTTTTTTATTAAAAATAACAGCAATTATTTATTAATAATGAAAAGAGTATACATATGTACAGACCATATAGGAGATAAAATCTCTCATCTCCTACCCATTGACTCTTTTTTCTTTTACAACAATGTCCAGAACATTTGATCTCTCCTCATCCCTTGTTTGGCTAAAGAACCAGCCATGTTATTTGCTTCCCTTTGTACCCACTGATATCTCATTTCCATACCATTAGTTTTTTTTATTTTGGAAGAGGTAAAGTAAATTTATTCAGCACAGAGAAAGCAAAAGCAAACTGCAATTCAGACCCAAGAAGGCAG